ATATGTGCGGTTTTCGAATCTGAAAGATAGTACGGGGAAACTTCTATCTCTACTATCTGTCAGAGGGAGGAGGGGTGGCAGGCACGGCTGAAGCTATGGGAACATGTTACATGTTCCACCCTAAAAATGGGGGGGGGGGGGGGGGGGGGACATGTAACATGTTCCAAAGGTGAACTTATCTTTTAAAGTATTTTTATGATGATATTGATATTCAGCGTGTAGACATGGGGCTGGAAGCTTTCTAAAGTATGTTGATATTACTATCAAGATACAAGTATATTCCAAGACAATTTTAATGTAAAATTATACAAAGCCAAAAAAATTGAGCACACTGAAAAAAAGACAACAGGTGATTCCATCCAACTAAATCCACTAAAGGCAAAAATATTTATCTCAGCATGAAATGATAAACACCACCTTCTGTATATTTTAAAAACAGGACATATGTAATCTTGCCTGTGCAAAATGGTGAACTTGCAGATACAGATTGAACCCTTTTTTCAGTCTGGCAGGTTGCATTATCCTGCTGAAAGAGACCATTGCTGTCAGGGAATACTGTTCCCATGAAGGGGTGTACTTGGTAAGCAACATTTAAGTAGGTGATACGTGTCAGGTAACATCCACATGTATGGCAGGGTCCAAGATTTCCCAACATTGCCCAAAGCATCACACTGCCTCTGCCAGCTTCCCTCCTTATACTACATCCTGGTGCCATCTCTTCCCCAGGTAAGCGCCACACACACACACACACACATCCGGCCATCCAAATGATGTAAAAGAAAACATGATTCATCAGACGAAGATTTCTCCAGAATCCACACAAAGTGGGGCATACTTCATTACAGGTAATGTAACTAAAGATGTAGATGGAAATAAAAAAAAAAATTTTTTTTTGGGTAAACTAAACGTAAATTTTAGCCTCAGTTCAAACTGCTGCGACCCCATTGCCATGTGATTTCAAGTAGTTGCATAAAAGTAGCGCATGCATGAACCTTTTTAAAATTTCAATGGTTGTCATTGAAGTTAATGTGTTATCACTTTTCATGTGCGTCACAAGTCTCATGCCAAGGGCTTAATGATGGTTTTATATATTTGCTTAGAGATCGACTTTAAATATAACCTCTAAGTGATGAGAGCTTGTCACCAGTATAAACAGACTATCCTGCTTTAGAGGAAAACACAAGTTTGAAGTGGTTGTAAAGGCTGAAGGTTTTCCACCTTCATGCATTCTATGCATGAAGGTAAAAAACCCTACTGTGCGCTGCTCCCCCACAGCCACCCCCCCCCCAATACTCACCTGAGCCCCCTCTCCATCCAGTGATATGGAGAGGAGACTCTGCTGTCCCAGGTCTCCCTCTTCTCATTGGCTGAGACAGCTGTCAATCACAGCCAGTAAGCCACTGAGGAAAGAGCAGGGGGTGAGGCCGAGCAAAGGTTGTGTGTGTCTCCAGAATGAGCATGCAATAGTGCCCCCAAAGCAACCGGCTTGCTATTGGGGGCACTGGCCAAGGGGGAAAAGCCAGGAGCGCTGGTGGGGTCATCAAAAGATTGGATCAGGGCTGCACTGTGCTGCACAGAGGAGGCAAGTCTGTCTTATTTTTTTTTTTGCCAAACCGTTAATATCACTTTAAGGAAATGTTCCTGCCAATATGCATGCCTTTGCATTTGTTAAGCTATGTTCCAATTCTCTGATCAGGTTACGTTCTACTTTCAAAACAAGCCAACACCCATATTGGGAAATTCCCTAATTATTTAAGTTAGAACAAGAGTTACAACAACATCAATGAAAAAGTCATATTTCTGTGGCACTGTACAAGCAGTACTCTGAAGTCCTATAAATAAGCCTCCTTTAACTTGTGGAATATAAACAAGACGTCTGGTCAGAAAACATAGATCAAGGCATAGTTGATGGCGTGTTTGAGATATTTCACATCCACAGCTGGAAGGTGGGGGAATCAGCAAAAAAGAGCAACGTCGGCAGTAAAACACCTCAGCTATAAAAATCATATTTCATCTGCAAGTATGGTGGAAAGTGAAAACATCTTCATATGCAGCTTACACAAACTTTCCTATGAAGTGTCATTATAAGCCATTTCTTTTTCCAGGAAAATGCTACTGAACATAAACCATGAAAAAACCCCCTCTTGGATTCATCAACATTGATTCTGAAATAAAAAAGGATTCTGGAAAGGATTTAGTAAAACAGGGCAGCTTTCCACAGCAAACAATTAGATACAGTGCTTTCATAAAGTATTCAGACCCCCTACATTTTTTTCAACTTTTTATGTTGCAGTCTGATAATAAAGTTTAGATTCATTTTTTACCTCATTAATCTACACACAGGTGTCCTTTTATCATGCAGCGGCAAATGAATGGTTCTCTGGCATCCTCAGAGGAGAGAGTTCTCCTCTGAATACCTATTTATGAAGCGGTGTAGGTCACTTCTCCGAATGAACGGAGAAGCGATCTACAAACGCTTTGAACTCTGGAAAATGGCTGCTGCTACTATAATCTCGTGAGATTACAGTAGGAGATCAGTCAAACACAGTTTTCTAAGAGGAGGTAAATTATCGCTGCTTCGTTTGCGGTTCCTTCGATTCTCCAGCTCTGGGCTGGAGAATCTGGAGGGAGAACACAGATCACCAGTGAAGGGCTGACATTGCTCCTTCATATACTGGCCATCTGTGTACTGAGATGATCAGTGGAGAACATGTTCTCCGCTGATCATCTCGGTTTCCTAAACCACTAATGATCAGAGATCAGCAACGATCCTTAGGAAATATTGGAAATAACGGAAATATCCCATTAGCATAAGTATTCAGACCCTTTGCAACAACACTTGAAATTTAGCTCAGGTGTCTCCCATTCCTCTTCATCATTGCTGAGATGTTTCTACACCTTGATTGGAGTCCATCTGTGGTACATTAAATTGATTGGACATGATTTGGAAAGACACACACCTCTCTAAAAAAAAGCCTCACAGCTGAAAATGCACACTGTATCAGAGCAAAGTTATGAAGTCAAGGGAACTGCCTGCAGAACTCAGAGACAGGATTATTGCAAGCCACATATCTGGGGAAGGCTCTTAAAACATTTTCTGCTGCACTGAAGGTTCCCATGAGCACAGTGGCCTCCATAATTCTCTAATGGAGAAGTTTTGCACAACCAGAAATGTTCCAACAGCTCACCTGGCCAAACTGAGCAATTGGGGAAGTAGGGTCTTAGTAAGAGAGGTGACCAAGAACTCGATGGTCAGTCTGACTGAGCTCCAGAGATCCTTGATGGAGATGGCACAAAGTTCCAGAAGGACAACCATCACTGCAGCCCTCCACCGATCTGGGTTTTATGGCAGAGTGGCTAGATGTAAGCCTCTCCTTAGTGCAAAACAGGAATACATTAACATCTGCAGCAGATCACACAACCAGTGCATTTTGAACAAGTCCTAAAAGCTGGAGATCAGCTTTAATGTATATTTTTTTTATCACATTTTTATTGCTACCCATCTCCTTCCTGGGTAGATTCACCCTCTTTATTTGTCCTGTTGACCATTGTCACCAAAAAGAAAAATGGTGAGATATATAAATTTTGCATCTGTCACAACAGCATATAGAGATTGTGCAGCTGTTCCAGTAGCAACTGTCTAAGATGGGAACTCCCTCACTGCAGACATGGCTCCTTTAACAGGCCCTTCCTTCATCAATACAGGACACAGTAAGGATGCTGAAGATTTTTCAGATAATGTAACTCTTCAAGTGGGTAAAGGTTGGCAGTGTAAGTGATGGGACAGATAAGTAATAATTTTTTGCTTCACAGGGATGGCAACTGCATTAAAAGAGAAGTATGGGAATAGCTTTTTCCCAAACTATACTTACCTAGGTGGAAGCATCAGTCCCCCCGCCGGCTCTAAGTGTGAGAACTCAGCAATTACATGACCACTGAGTTCTCACAACTGCTCTGAGCGGAGAGCGTTGACTGCCAGTCACCACTATCTGCTCTGCTCCCCACCCCCACATCACTGGAGTGCTGGGCTGTGGAGGAGATGGAGCGGCAGGCTTAGGGTAGCAGATCGCTGAGAGGCTGAACCAGGTGCCGCTCCAGACTCTGGGGTGAATTCCAACATTAAAGTCGGGATCTTTCCCCAGCCTGGACCAGCTGAGTGACATCAGCCGACAGAGGGCTTCAGCCTGCTGTCAGCTGAAAACAGGTCAAAATATATTTAGTCATTTTGGTATCTATATTATGTATATTTTTTGTGGATGGATAAACTTTTGACATCCACATTCATTTTGGCTGCTTTATTCCAACTGTTGATTTTTAGCTGGAGTTGAGCTTTTATTTTTATGTGATAAAATGTTCTGGCCACCAACTGTATATTGCATCAGTTTTTATTTACAACACAAGGGTATATAGGTAAATGGGCCACGATATCTTGTGAGTGCTACTGAATCTGGGGAGTTTTTCTCTGGAGCTCGTGGTGATATCGGAGTACACTTTACTCAATCAATTATCGTTCTGTTGTTCACTTGGCGATTTCGGTGGATCAATAAGGACTTTGCACTTCACTATTTTCATTTTTCAGTTGATGGACTTATGTCAAATGATTAAAATGTTTGTGTTATATTTTCACTCTAACAGAGTATATATATATTTGCTGCTTTTATCATTGTTTCATGAGGTGATTATTACAGTCAATGTATTAATGACACTGGCTAGGAGAGGTTAACCATCTAGGGCAACCCTAGCTGGCACCCATTAATCGGCTTCTGCTGTGACTACACCCTGTTCCAAATTATTATACAAATTCTATTTAAGTGTCACAAAGATGAAATATTTTGTTTTTCAGTTTAACTCATGGATGGCATTGTGTGTTTGGGCTCTTGATCACTGAAAACAATCTCGGACACCTGTGATAATTAGATTAGCCGGTGAGCCCAATTAAAGGAAAAACTACTAAAGGACGATGTTCCACATTATTAAGCAGACCACCATTTTCAAGCAATATGGGGAAGAAAAAGGATCTCTCTGCTGCCGAAAAGAGTGAAATAGTTCAATGCCTTGGACGAGGTATGAAAACATTAGTTATTTCACAAAAACTTAAGAGTGATCACCGCACTATTAAGAGATTTATGGCCGATTCAGAGCACAGATGGGTTGGGGCAGATAAAGGCACATTGAGGAAGATTTCTGCCAGATCCATGCATCGGATCAAGAGAGCAGCTGCTAAAATACCATTACATAGCAGCAAACAGATATTTGAAGCTGCCGTTGCCTCTGGAGTCCCACGGACATCAAGGTGTAGAGTCCTCCAGAGTCTTGCAACTGTGCATAAACCTTCTATTTGGCCACCACTAACCAATGCTCACTAGCAGAAATGGCTGCATTGCGCAGAAAAACACATGAAGACTAATTTTCAAACAGTCCTATTCACTGATGAGTGCAGTGAAACCCTGGATGGTCCAGATGGATGGAGTAGTGGATGGTTGGTGGACGGCCACCCTGTTCCAACAAGGCTGCGACGTCAGCAAGGCGGTGGTGGAGTTATGTTTTGGGCCAGAATCATGGGAACAGAGCTGGTCGGCCCTTTAGGGTCCCCGAAGGTGTAAAGATGGCCTCTGCAAAGTATATGCAGTTTATGACTGACCACTTTCTTCCCTGGTACAGACGGAAGAACTATGCTTTCCGTAATAAAATCATCTTCATGCATGACAATGCACCATCTCATGCTGCAAAGAATACCTCTGCATCAATGACTGCTATGGGGATAAAAGGAGAGTAAGTCATGGTGTGGCCTCCATCCTCTCCTGACCTCAATCCTATTGAGAACCTTTGGAGCATCCTCAAGCAAAAGATCTATGAGGGTGGGAGGCAATTTACATCCAAGCAGCAGCTCTGGGAGGCTATTCTGACATCTTGCAAACAAATTCAAGCAGAAACTGTCCAAAAACTCACAAGTTCAATGGATGCAAGACTTGTGAAGCTGCTATCAAATAAGAAGTCCTATGTTACAATGTAACGTGACCTGTTAAAATGCTTAAAAAGTTAAAATGTTGTTAAAAGTTTGATTGGAATAGCTTTTGATTTAACAAATGACAATTTTCAGTTCTTTACAACATAAAGTGTTTTGAAACTTACTATGCGTAATAATTTGGAACAGTGCATTGGAAGTTTTTTTATGTTTAAAAAAAATACTGTTATTAGGAAGTTTGTTCAATAAAATTTGAATTTTACTCTTAATAGTTGATAACATAGAATTATGCTGACTGTTATTTACATCAACTATTTAGGTAAATGAGAAAAATATCATTTGCATAATAATTTGGAACAGGGTGTAATCACAGAAGCAGCATAATCCCTACAACAGGAAGTGCTAAATCACATGATTTTGCACAGAGCGGCGGCCCTGTGGCAATATATCTGCTATAGGGCGGTTGGCAAATGGTTAAGGGGGCAATCTGTTTTTAGCTACTTTTACGCAAATAAGCGGCCTCTCAATGGCTGGGCCTGAGCCCAGAGGTCACATAACCCTAAATGCCGCCCTACCTCCCGATGTCGCAAACCCCTATAGGGCCAGGAGGCGCCGGCGCAAAGGGGTTAACATTTAAAAAGGCGATTCATCTTACTACACCATGAAGTTTGTTTGTTTTTTCTTCCTGGCTGGATGCGCTATATCTTGAATCTGACTATGGATGGATGAGCTATCTGATGCTGTTTGAAGGATTGCTGCAGATTTTCAACCCAGTGTGGCTGAGAAAGTGCTTATGACCTTACCTGAGTGTGGATCAAACTGAGATAAGAATCTGAAGTGACAGGTGGTGGGCACGTGCATGCGCATATTACATATTCCACAAACACAGAATTTCAGTCAAGCCACATGCACATAAGAGTGTTTACACCAATGCACCAAAATATTGGTATACAGCTATTCAGTTCTATGGCCAGCTGTATGAGCCACCTGCGGCTTATTGGGTGGGGAAAAATCCAGGCATTTTACATTCGTGCATTTTTCAGTCCCTCACCCTCTTTGTGCATGAGGTCTTACTGTAGCTTCAAATTTATTATTCCCTACTCTGATCAGGGAGTTTCATTCTATTCTCTCCACTGAGTGGAAGGTATGTAAACATTTGGGTTTATCTAAGAAAAATAAATTAAAGATTCAAGAGCCATATGATGAAAGAGAACACTATTTAACTTCATTCCTGCGCGCCCTTTTTAAATATAGTCATCCAACATCTGTTTATTCACATTCAACAACTGGCTGTACCAATGACTGATGGAAAGGTTTCACAAAATCTTTCACATCTGTGTCACAATAGGCAGCAGAGAAGGACAGCTGTTTTCATGTAGGTAATGATGTTAGCCTCTACTAAAGGTGGCATCATGTGTACAGCCGTGGCCAAAGGTTTGGAGAATGATACAAATATTAAATTCTCACAAGTCTGTTGCTTCAGTGTGTTTTTAGATCTTTTTGTCAGATGTTACACTGCTATACTGAAGTATAATTACCAGCATTTCATAAGTGTCAGAGGCTTTGACAATAACAAAGTTTATGCAAAGAGTGAATACATTCAGTGTTAACACCTCTTTTTCAAGACCTCTGCAATGCGCCCTGGCATTCAGTCAATGGGCCACATCCTGAACTGGTAGCAGCCCATTCTTGCATAATCAATGCTTGGAGTTTGTCAGATTTTCTGGGAGGCTTTTTTGTTCACCTGCTTCTTTAGGATTGACCATAAATTTCCCAGTAGGATTATGGTCTGGGGAGTTTCCTGGCCATGGACCCGTAATTTTGATGTTTTGTTCCCCAAACCACTTCGTTAAAATTTTTGCCATATGGCAAGGTGCTCCATCATGCTGTAAAAGGCATTGTTTGTCACCAAACTGTTCTTGAATGGTGGGAAAAAGTTGCTCTCAGATGAGGTTTTCGTACCATTCGTTATTCATGGTTGTGTTCTTAGGCAAAATTGTGAGTGAACCCACTCCCTTGGCTGAGAGGCAACCTCATACATGAATGGCCTTAGGATACTTTACTGTTGGCATGACACAGGACTGATGGTAGTGTTCACCTTTTCTTTTTCCAGATGCCCCAAACAATCGGAAAGGGGCGCCCTGAAGCCTTCTTCACAACAACTGAACCTCTCTCGAAGTTCTTGATGACCCGAAAAAGTGGTTGATTTAGGTGTAGTCTTAGTAGCGGCAATATCCTTGACTGTAAATCCCTTTTTGTGCAAAGCAATGATGACTGCACGTTTTCTTGCAGGTAAAATAATATTTGTGTCATTCTCAAAACTTTTTGCCAGGGCTGTACAGGTCTCTGGGTAACTTTATTTCTATTACTATATCATGTTCCCCTTTTATGTATTGCCAAAAATAAAAAAGTAAAGAAAATCATCAGTGTGCATGCACAAGAGTCTGTTTACATACAAAGCAGCCCTCAAAGGAATGGAGCCCTAGTGCTGAACATCTCCCCGTCAACTCTGTGTTGTTGCCCAGTGGACCCATCAGTTAAGATCTTTATATATTTTTGAGGATCTAAGACTGGTGAGAAGAAAATTTGTGACTTAAAATATTCACCCGAACCAATCTTATTACACATAATTATGATACTTATATTTAGCAATAGCTAACTATTAAAGTAGAACTATTGTCACCCATATAAAAAAAAAAAAAAAAAAAAAAAAAAAAAGTGTGCTGCGGCACATATAGTTTTTACTTATTCCCCCTGCAAAGTCCCACAAATACCTGGTGAAGACCACCTAAGGCTAGGTTCACACTATATAAAGGTGCAGGGCTGCGTCTTTAATGCACTGCTGTTAGCAAAGGCATGGGGGTGCCATTAAAGGATAAGTTCACCTTTTACCAAAAAAGTAATAAATGTATAGTTTTTTTTTTTTTTGCAGGTAAAAAAACGTGCATTTACTATTTTTTGTTTTGGGAGCCTAGAAAGCATTGCACCAGTGATCAGCAGGTTGCTGGTTCTATGCAGAGCTCCTGCAGCCCTGTCAGTGTATCTTTGTGCTCAGATACACACTGACAGGGAGAATCAATGAACTACTACAGCACTCAACAGCTCTGTGGTAGTTCATTGATTCTTGTAGTTTTCACAAAATACTGTGAATGAGTGATGCGGGTGAGTGGAGCCGCACTCGGCCACTTTTTTTTTTTTTTCAAACTGTGACAGCTAGTGGGGGGAGAAGATCCCCCTCTAGCTGTCAAAATGGGGGATCAGGGGCCAGTTTTTTCATAGCATGTTACACCCTGAACATGGGTGTAACATGTAACATGTTACGAAAGGTGAACTCATCCTTTAATTCCTGTGGTTTCCTTTGCAGTTTCCTGTGATGGTGTGGCAACAAGGCTACCCTATTCCTGAATTCAGAGCAGAGTTGCCACTCTCATGAAGGCTGTGCACTACAGTAGGATGCAAATATGTTGCAGGGCGTGTAGCTATCACTGCTGATTCACAAGCCTGTAGCTTGTGCATCAGCACCTGGCCACATCTAGCACTCCCTCTGAGTTGTGGTATCTTTGAGGGGGAGCATGTGAGACACACAGGAAGGAGGATTTGGTTCAGTCAGGGAGGATAAAGGAAATTCTTTACTTTATAAGGCTTGTGCATCACATAGTAACTGCATACAGTACGTGTTTAGATTATCACACAGGAATTAGTTGTTCGTTAACCTCTCCCCATCCACCCATTGTACATAGACGGCAGACAGGACGCTTTGCTGATGGGGGCTGATGTACCTGTATGTCAGCACGCACCGATGGCTCCTGTGAGGCTCAAAGAGCGCTCCCCCCGGCGATTGGTTTGTTTCGTCCGGACACCGCGGTAACGTGATCCGCAACGTTTTACCATGTGACTGCTCTAAGTGTGTAAGTGTGTGTGTGTGTGTGTGTGTGTGTGTGTTAGTCAAGCGGAATACTCGCGCATGCACAGTAAGCATACACGTCACGCCAGGCAGGCAGGCAGGCTATTTAAACCTGCAGAACAGTAAAAATCAATGCCTTCCGGTCTACAACTTTCCTGCACGCATTCCTGATCCTGTATTCTGATTTGCTTGACTAAGAAAGAACTCGGCTATCCCTGACCATCCGCTTGCCTGCTCCCTTGTACTTTATCTGCCCGCCTGATACTGACCCGGCTTGTCTGACTCTGCTACATTTACTTACCTGCATCTACACCTGGCTTGCATCCTGACGGCTGCCATACTTACCTGCCGCTACACCCACGGTCCTGCATCTGGCCTGCATCCTGGTCACTGCCAAACCTGCCTGCTACTGCATCCACACTCTGGTGCCCAGTCCCAGTCTGCATCCTGATTGCCGCCATACCTGCCCGCTGCTGCACCTACGTTCCAGCACCCGCACCTGGCCTGCATCCGGATCTCCTGGGTCCCCAGCTACCTGCTGCCAGCTCAAGATTCACCCGGCACTCGTGCCACTCCTGGCTCTGCGCCCTCTGTTGACAGGCGCTCCGAGCAGGAGTTGCAAGAGGACGCCCTCTCTCCACATCAGGCTCCCCAACCAAGTAAGTGACAGATGTAAAAAA